TCAAAGGATTACAACTAAGAGGTTTAATATTCTCTGGCTGATCCTGTAGCAAATTAATCTGGCCTGACCTTTCATGTTCTTTGTTATGTCACCACAGTATTATTTCAGCTGCACTCTCACCCTTTCTCATTTCAATAACGTAAAAAAGAGCCCAGGAATTTCAAAACACAGCTATGGAAAAGCCAACAAGATCAGGTTTAGCTTGTTTAGATCAAAAATCCAAGAGCAGTGACAAGAGGAGAAAGATTGCAAAAGCTCCCCCAGTACTAACCCCCCTCCCACAATCCTGACAGAGCTGTGAAACCACTGCCCTGATGGGAGAGCCCTATAGGCATATTTATATCAAACCCCACATGCACACACACTTGGCTGAAGTCACCTCCAAAGCTTGCCAAAAAGGTGCAACCCAAGTGAGGCTGAGTCTGCCCGCCGAACCCCCTGCACAGCTGGCTGTTGAACTTCCTTGCCTGCCTGCCTGAAAGAGCCTTGAGCTGGAAGTAAACCCACAATTAGACAGGCCTGTTGTAGCTGTCACTGGATTCAGTGGCATCTCAATTAGATGGCAAAGGTTTCAATTCACTTATGACCCTTTCCTGCTGATAGTGCACTCCCAGACTGCTCCGTGGCAGGCTCTTTCTGAGCTTACCACTGACTTTATCCTGCACAAAGAACCTGGCAAAATTTTCCCAAATTAGTCTGAGTCGAGGAGGAAGCCAGAAGTGATTCAAAACACTAGGCAGACCATTCCTGTTACTGGAAGGGCACCACTCACACACCCCCCTAAGTGGTGCCCAGAAGCCCAACTGTGTAGGACACCTTACCCCTTCTGGGCAGTTGTGGAAAGGAGGCAATGCAGCCAACTCAGCAGTGCCCAGCGTGCAGCAATGAGCACTGGCTGGAGAGAACCAGAGGGACATCCAGGAGGACGCTCAGGGCTGTTTCAGAGCAGTGATGCAGTCTCATGCCCGGGATTCTGGGTGTGGTGCAGGACCTACCCCGTGATGCATGTACACACACTCCACAGATCTGCTGCTATCTCATCCCCCAGATGCATCAACTTGGTGTGATCCCTGGCAAAGGGGACTGCAGCCCATCACAAGAAGGGTGCAGCCATATATGCTCCTGGAGTTGGATGAAGGGTGAGAGGCCAGCTTCAGAGTTCAGTGTAGGATCACACTTCTTCCTGCCCATGTTGCTGGTGAGCATGACAGTTGATCAGTCCAGAGTCTTAGCATCATCGTGACACTATTTCCTAAATGGGTCCTTGCAGGTATATTACCTCCTTCTACCCCTAGCTGACAGGGTGCTACCAGGGTGCCCAGTGTCACAGCATCGTGCCACCCCCTGGCCTTCAGTCACACAGCTGCCTCAACAGCTGGGAAGCAATGGTCAAAGTGAGGAGCTGACTGAGACCCCTGCTTGCTAGGAGCGAAGCTGTTCGGCTGCTGCTGGAGAACCATTGAGTACATGCAGCTGTGAGACATGCAACTCTCTCCATATGGTTTTCAGTTCTGGGTGGATGGGAACAATCAGCTCCTTTGGACATCAGATGCATCATTTTCCACTCCGCTGTAAACTGGTTTTATGCCTGTTTCTCCAGCCCTGCTGCTAGATGCGAAGAACCCGTCACGGCCAGTCTCAGGCCCCCCCTGGCCTGCTGGGGGCAAGTGGTGGATTAGCTTCGACTTCACACCCCAAGCATTGAACCTGTGTCCTCCCAAAATTCCCCGACTAGTGACTATGCCGCTGGGTTGGCACAACTAGGCTTGAGGCAGCTGACAGGACGTGCGCTGTACTGCTTCGCCTCACAGGGCACGTTACATTCAGTCTGAAGCAGGAGGTAACCTGACGGTTGCTTCACACGCGGAGGAAGCACGGTGGTGTTGTGGACCCTTTCCGTGACTGGCAAGATCTAGCTTCAAGTCATCACTCAACAAAACAAGGTGCATTAATTCTGCCCTGTTTTTATAGCCCCATACACACACATGCATGTACACCTATATTCCTAAACCTCTTCCCCCTGCCCTGCCTCAGTCCAACCCTTGACTTTCCCTTACTCTATCTTTCTTAGATGCTCCCAATGCCTCATCGGTCTCCATACCCTGCCAGCCATCCTGTTCTCACCAGGCTGAAGCTTCTGAAACGCCCCCAGACACTGCAAGTGCAGCTCTGTCCGATTTCAGCATCTAGTTCCCTAGCAGAACAAGGGCCAGCAGCGCGGCCTTTCACCAGGACTGGGGCATCCCCATGCTGTGAAGCCCATTCAAGCAGCCTGCAAAGAAAAGGAACGTCCTAAAAGGCAGGGAGAGCTCTGGAAAGTTGTCACCTTGGTCACACCGCCACTAAAACTGGATGCAGCAACATGCTCTGAGCAAAGGAATCACGCTGGCCTGGAAACCAGCCGCTGCCAGGCATACACTAATGTAAGCAACGATGCAGCCTGTGTTCAGTGCACCATGAAAGGCCCCTGCCCTTCTCCTGCCTGGTGCTCAGGGGCAGCAGACTCTGAAGTAAGGGGCAGTGTAAGCAGCAGTTGCAACCCAGGTCTGCTTTAATAAGTATTGGTGGCTTGTGCACATTCAGCTGACTATGCAGTGTGCGTCATTCGTTTGGCTGCAAGGAGGCTGGCTAACGGGGACAGGACAGAGCACCGAGGAGTCAGGAATCCCTCCAGTGAAGCACCCGTATTGCGCTAAATGCAGGCTGGGTTAAGGGCGGCTGTACAACAACTAAGAGGATTTGGTCAGACTAAAGACTGGATCACTCGTGTGAAAGTAGGGTCCCGATGGAAGTTCTGCCCATCAGATGGCTACTGCCATTTGCAGATGCCCAGTTAGCCCAGACATTCGCACCTGCCCACAATATCCAGCTCATTTCTCATGTGGGCTTTGGAACATAGGTTTGAGCCTCCTGCCTGGAGGAAAGAGGAAATTCAGAGCCAAGATTGAGGAGCCTGCCTTTTAACCCTACCTCAGCCCACAGCAGCCAGGCACCAGAGACCAACAAAAAACATCCTGTCACTGAGTCAAAGCCTTCGTACCGGGATGCCATGCAAGCCAACTCTCCCTTCTGCTGGGAGAAATGCCCACCACGCTCAAGGACTGCATTAAACCAGCTTAATTGATAGCTTATTCCTATGAACGACTACCCCTGCCCTGGCCCAGGGAACATTAAGGTATGTCAGGTTGGGAGGAAGACGTGCCCAGAAGATCCCCCTGATCTGTGCAGTGTTGTGGACTCAGATCCAAGGAGACAATTAACCCTGTGAACGATGCACCCCACCACGAGCCTGTCCCCAACTCCTCTCACATGGCACCGGATGAGGATGTGAAGGCTGGAGAAGCAGCCACAGCAAGAACATTAATGTTAGGTGAGGGAGAATACATTTCCTGTTAATGAAACAGGCCACGGATCTCATCTCTTGCTTTAATATACCACAAGATCGTACATAACCACTTATGAACACTATCCGTGGAAGGTGGAGGAGAGTCCAGATAGGAGACTATAAGGTTTTAAAGGTCCTTATCTCCCAAAAGATGCTTTGGCTGGCAGGTGACCTGCTGCACTGCTTGGTTCATGTGGGTCTCTAATGGCAGGCATTGACCACAACTGCCTTCCTGGGTCAAGACACAAATCCGGCCACCCCTGCACCCTGTCTCGTGGTGGAAGTTTTTGCAGCTGGTCGGTGCTCTGGGCATCTACCTCTCCTACCTGTACTTCTCAGCAAAGCTCAGCAGCTGCATTCCCGTATTGCTGTGGCCAACAGCCTCCTGTAGCAGAGGCAGACCAGAGTCTGGGAAGGTCAGCAATTGTAGTAGAGGAAAGAAAGCAAGAATCCCAGAGACAGGCAAGCACATGAGGCAGAGGCACTGACACCCCCGTACTTGCCGGATCCAAAGAGGAGGGAGCCAATGAGTGGCACCATAAGGAATCACAGCCTCAAGAGATCTCTTAACTACCCTGAGCAGGGAGCAGTGGGAGTGGGGTGGTGGGAAAGGGGCAACTTAAGATACCAGGCAACAGCAGGAAACTCCACGTCCCAGCTCTGCCAGCCCTCAAGCACGCACAGGGGAAGTCAGTAGTTCGTGGGGTTGAGGGGTTTCTCCCTAAGCTCTTTTAAAGGGAGAACTTTAAAAGATCTACTTAAAAAGGAGTTAGAAGTACAGCCTGAACTGGCGCCAAGAGCTGTTCCCAATGCCTGTAACACAGGGAGAGATGATTGCTCCTTCTGACATTGGAAGAGACTGAACTGGAGCGAGGAAGGCGGAGAAAGGATACCTGCGCAGCGAACCGCAGCATGAGTCCCTCCCACAGGGCCAGCGTGAGGGATTCTCAGTGAGGAAAAGCCTGCTGCCATCACCAAGCCACAGCGGAGCTGGCTTGGTTTGCTATCAAGGCCGTGCACAACAGAGGGAGGCTCCCAGAGGGGAGGACAAACACGAGCCAAGCCCAGACCGCACAATACAGAGCGGGCAGGTGGGGGCTGCACAGGAGGGGTTTTAAGTGATCCAGTCTCCTGTGACCTCGTGCATGGGGAGTTGGGAAAGAGAAGTTGAAGGATGCGCTTGGCTTGAGGAGGACCCTGCTTCCCAGGAGCAGGGAACGGGATTAGCCACCTCTTATTTATGAGGCTCTCCAATGCAGGGCTCCACCTAGCTTCCTCCAGTCCATTCTCTTTAAGCAAACACGCTCCACTGCTTCCCACTATCCAGGGATACGTTACAGAGCGCCTATCAAGTACTGCCAGGAGGAAGTGGTGGTGGGGAATATTTCAGGTCTATTTTAAATAGGGGATGGGGAGAGTTGGAGGCTTGGGGGGAGGGGAAGTGGGGGAGGCCTTACTGAAAAGTGCATGCTTTCGTTCCGAGGTACCAAGAGCCAGGGGTCCCCGTCCCATCCCATCCCATTCCCAGGTGGGGAGAGCAGAAGCCTTCACAAGCCCTTCCCACTCTCCCAGAGGCTGCCCCTCAAGTAGCCAGCGACTGAATGTTCTTGAGCATCTCCTCGAAAGCCTCCTGGGATGGCGCCTCGGCACTCTGGAACGCAACCCTGATCCGGCTGTAGAGGCTGAAGGATTTCAGCTCCAACCAGATGAAGCCAAAGCGATCGTCGTCGAACAGGACGAAGGCCCCTGGCGTCCGCTCGGGGCTGGTGAAGCCGTGGCCAGCGATAAGCCCCGTGCCATAGAAGCTGGAAAAAGCAGAGGAGAGAGGAAGGCAAATATTGCAGCTACTAGTGCTCCTGACATGGGCTTCTACATAGTCCCTGCAGACCAGGGATCTCCAGCCAGCACGTGCTGCTGCCGAGGAAGATCCAGCCATCCCAGAAAGCACCTGGCCACTTGTGTCATGCAATGTGGGGTGGGATGTTTCACCTCCTAACATCGTTACAGGGCATGAACCCACCGCTTCACAAACCTCCATCTTCAAAGAGGCCCCCAGTGCCACAAATAAGTCGCTGGCCCCTTCCCCTGGACTCAAAACCTGGCTGCTGTACAAGACAGTGCCAGAAGTCAGGGCATGGGCGTGTATGCCAGGCTGACTGCCTAATATTTCTGCAGCTAGAGGCAACACCTAGCTGAGGGTGGTGTTCTCACAGTCCTCAAGAATCACCCCAGACAGGACACTGCGTGGGGGCCTGTGCCTGGTAGGGTCATGCCTGTGGAGACATACTCAAGTAACCATGCAATTAAGAGGGAAAGGACGGGCGTAGGTCAGAGTTCACTGGTGTTCAGTCATGACCTACAGCAACACTGGTTGCAATAAGATCGTGGTGGATTCATGGGAGGGGAAGGGGCTGAAGGCCCAGGAGACTTGGCCAAGGGTCCTCTGCTGGAGGATCCGGTCCAACAAGGGGCACAGCATGCTCACAGCTTCAGACCACTCCCTGCCCACTGTGCGTTTGCAGCACCACAGGGGCCAGACACAGGCTTGGAGCAGAGTTGAGGGGGAAGAACACATCATGTCTCCCCGGTCCTGGGAAGCAAGTGCCAGGCCTCATGCTGAGAGGATCCCAAAGAATAAAGCACGAGGAGCTGATGGGAAAAGCAAAAGTCGCAGGGGTCAAATGATGGAGGCGACCACAGCTTAGGGCCCGACTGCAGCAGGACTGGCAGCAGCACAGAAGCAGCAGCTCAGTATCCAGCAGGAGCAAGCACAAATCATGGGATGCAGAGCAGTCAAGGAAAGGAATGATACCAGGTGGCACAAGGAAGCTGGGAGCTCACCGGCAGGCAATGCATGCAGCAAGTGCACGGGGGGAGGTCAGAACTAGCTTTGGGCAGCACTGCAGCTCTGCTCAACCAGGGGCGGGGAATTAACCCCAAACCTCACTTACCACATTCGGCAGGTCCGGGGGTAATCTTTGTTCCGTGATATGACCCCCGGGGGCAACACGAAAGGCTGTGAAACAGGCTCTGAGCCCTGGGCTGCAGCCCCTGCTCTGTCCGCTGTCTCTTCGGCTCCTGCGTCTCCTTCCTGTGCAGGCTGTTCCGCTTGTGGCGTGGCGCTCTGCCGGGAGCAGCCTGCACCCTCCTCTTCCTCCTGCTGCTGCTGCTGCTCCCGGCGCACCTGCTCCTGGACCTCGAGGATGATGCGGGAGAGCTCGTTGAAGTTGTGCTGGTTCTCAATGTCAGGCAGCTGGATGGGGTGCAAAAGATCTATCTCCACAGTCTGCTGACCAGCTGGGATGTTGGGATCACCCTGGAGATGGGAAACAAGGGACAGCCACCACAGTTCAGGGGAAGGATGCGATGGGGCAGAGTTCCTACCAAAAGCTCCTATGTGTCCTGGGGAGTTGGCTTATGAGCCTTATGTTGGGGTCAACCCATTCCATTGCTGCCTCTCTGGCTGGCTAACCCAAGGACCCAACCATTTCACGATCCCTGCATTCAGCCACTATACCAAAGCCCCACCTGTATGTGGAGGTTTTACCCTAAACAAAAGGCCAAGTCTGCAAGACGCAAGAACACAGCGAAAGACAACTACATGCAGTCACCCTTCCACGCTGGGGGAAGGAAGGGTTTGCCAGCCACAGCTCTCTGGGACATCTCCAACAGACCTAGGTCTTCAAGGGTCTGCTAGAGGCTAACACAGAATGGAGCTGGTTAGGGACATTTGGGAGAAAGAGGAAAGCAATTCAAGCCAGAAGGAATCTGTGATCAAGAGAAAGTCTGCAGACATATCTTAGCTCCTCCAAGAGCACAGGACTCTGGGACCTTTCCCCAAAGGAAGAGCCACTCAAGCTGCACATCCCCAAGCTACAGGAAGGTCGTCAGGTAGATGGATGAATGATTAAACCTGCTCCCACCAATCCCTGAGGTGAACCAGTCAGGCCGAGACAACAAGTAATTGCATCCCAAGCAATTAGCCATCTCCTCCCATCAGTGGCCTAGAGGGCAGGGTGGGAGAATGCAATGCAACTCTCACGACAAAGCAACGAGAGCACAAAAGAAAGTCCAAGAAACTGGGGCTAGACCACTCACTGTTATTTTTGTCCCCTTGGCTTTCTTCCCGTGAAAACTCAGCATGATGATCTCAAGCCCGTGGCTCCCATACGTCCCTTTGAAGAGGCCTGGCTTGATGAGGTCGTCGGGGCTGCTCGGAGGGAGGTAGATGCGTCGGTACGTCAAGCAGTTGCTGTGGAGAAGAGACAGGCAGGTTGCAAGGGGATGCTGGAACACGAAGTTTTCCAGGAGAACTTAGACTACAAATCTCCTCCTCCTGCTAGCCTGGTACCTAACCAAGGGGGTCTTTGCAAATGAACTGCTGGTTGAAGAGCACAGCAAGTGCAACAACTTGCAATGAATGCACACACCCCATCCCCTAAAAGCAGTCAGTCTGGCAAAAATCTGTTAGCCTGTGAGGCATGGCAGTGGCAATCCAACCAAAGCCACCCTGGCTTTCTTGAGATTCCCAACATTACCAGAGGGCAGCTTATCACAGTGTCACCTAAACCAACAAACTTCTGAGAGCAACTCCCACCTCTTTTAAAGAGAGAGAGAAGAACATAGGGGCCACGTGATTTGTGTTTAGTTGCAGTATTATACATTTTCCTTGCCAATTAGTAAAAGCTGATGCCCTGTCAGGATGACGGACAGTGACTCAGAGTTAAACAAGTGATTCAAAGGCCTCTCTCACGGACACGGAGCCATTCTAGGGACATACAGTCTCATCAGTTATCTTCATTACATCCACATTGCTACTTTTACTGGAAGGCACCTTCCATACAGTGGTCCAGAGCCTATTGCAGTAGAGTCCAAATCTAAAGTAAGGCTTGGGCAATGCAGTCAATCTGATAACACACTTTGTAAGAGTCTACAGGTAACTGTTTTACATGGAGGAAAATACCATCTATATAAAGACAGCAGAGCTCCCTTAGACAAGAGTCCAAGCAATGGCAAGAACCATAGTGCTGAGAGACGTGGCAAGTCATCGGTAAAGAAGAGAACAATTTGGGGACACAGCAGTGTTTTGACACCCCCTGCCTGACATTGAGAGAGAAAAAGCAGAGCCCTTACTCATACTGGCTGGTATAGATGAACTTCATCAGGATAAGCTCTTGCATGTGCTCATGGAAGATGTCTTCCAGCGTCCGGCCCCATTCCTCCCTCAGCCACGTCCGGAATTCCTGCAAGACGCACACAGAGGAAGGGCACGTGAAGCCAGCAAGTTTGCAAACTGCTTGCCAGCAAGTTCACAACAGGACTGTGAACCCACCTGGAGCACACCACTCTACACCTCAGAGGGTCAGCCAGGAGAAAGGGAGAATCTACTGCACAGCTAGAGAGGGGCACAGATGTAGAAGTGCCTTGCCTGAAGCCTTGTTGAAAGGTAAGTTCCCAGACCCTGCCCCAGGGCATGAGGCACAGCAGAATGAACACAGCAAAGAGATTTCCAGATGTGCCAAGGGATTCAGAAGCGTAAGTCCCATAGACATAGGACTTATACACCTAAATCCAAAATAAATAATCCAAAATAAATAAATAAAAACTCCCCCCCAGGATGCATCAATATTAGGTCTGAGAAGCAAAGCCCTGGAGAGGAGTTGCAATGTGGCGACAGCTGCTTATCTACCAATGACGTGATTCTACCCAGCAAGAGTCCAACCCTGCAATCCTCCTAAATACAGATCCACTAATTCCCATCAGAGGAAGTTCTGTGGTGGGTTTGAAAGGGACTTGACAAATTCATGGACAACAGATCTGTTAATAGCTATTATACAGAACAGTCAGGGATGCATCCTCTGGCATCTCTAACCCAATGATAGTGGAAGTGCCAGGAAAGCCTTCCCCAGATGTTTGCTTTTGTATCCTGACAGCATGCGATTCGAGTTGCCCAGCTGCCGCATTTTATTAGTAATCCCATATCATAAAACAAGCCTTAAAATCCTTTCATCTTGGCAGGCAGCAGAAAGCAGCCCTGTTTATTATGCTAACAGCACAACGAGCTATAGCGTTAAGTGCAAGTATAATGTAATGTTATGTCACGTAGGATCAAACCCATTCCCATAAGCAACAGAAACCTCAAGTTACCAGCATCTTGCAAGTGGTCTAAAGAGCACAAAGGCTGCTTCTTATGTCAGATCAGGCCACTGAAAAGTAACTTGCCCTGTCTGATACAGCGCAATAAGAGCAAGCACCCTTAAGACCAAATCCTTGTACGTGGTGGAAAATCAGAGGGAGCTGAGGACTGCTCAACACCTGGCAAAACTAGAGGAACCACAAAGTATGCACACGGTGTAGAAAGACAGGATGAGCCAGTGTGACACTGGGTTTTACATGGATGTCCCATAAGGTAACTGTGGGGTAGGAATGCCGAGTGGATCCCATGCTGTAGCAGCAGAAGAGATCATTGCAGGGGTCCTTAAGGCATGTGTGTGTGGGTGTCCCCTTCCTATCAGGGGCGTAAGGGCCAGGCAGAGGCTGTGGCCAATCTTTGGCAGGAGGATCAATCCGCTCCGCTCTAAATTCAGCTGCAGGCAGATTCAAACCACAGATCGTTTCTACCCATTAGGGGAGCTCCAAGGACAACAATTAGTTTGCAACAAACAGATACATAATAAATTATACACAAGCTGGAGTCAAACAGGCTGTTCAAGTTCTGACTGTTGTCCAAGACTTGGGGCCAGGAGTGACGCTATTTCCTGCTGTGCTTCAGACGAGGTAGATGGATCCCTTTCCAAGGAGATATGAGCATGCATACACCCCCCCACCCACCCGGTCTTTCCACCTGGATGGGTAAGGCTTTACCTCTTGTCTCCCTCCTGACATTCGATGGTGATCCGTCTGGTTGCACTTTGTCGAGAACTCATCCTTCTTCACGATCTGCAATCACCGGGGAGGGGACTTTGAGTTACACACCATAACTAGAGACTGACATGGCAATAAGGGAAAGACCACTTCAGGCAAAACCTTGGCATGAGCCGCTGGGTGCTGTCTCTGCGAACGTGCCGCCACCACCACCCAGCAGCCCAGGCTCCACCTGTGCCTCCTAGAGACAAGAGAGATGCATCAAGGGCCCCTGCCCCTCTAAGTTGCAGCCCCAATCACTGGGGCAGGTAGCCGGGAGAGGCCACTCCCCGATTTTGGAGCTGCCTTCTCCACTCACCTCCAAGAAGAGAATCTCCCCAGAAAGTCAGTTCCTCAAAGTATCTCACTTACTCCTCAGTGGTCCCAGTCCCCTCCTTAAAGGTCCCATCCTTGTGGCACTTGCATGGCACAGCTTAGCACTGGCATATAGGGGCCAAATTAGAATATATGTGCCCCCTGCTTTCCCCATATAGTTCGATGCACTCTGGTGTCCCACTTTGAGCCAGACCCCAAGAGACGGGGCTTTCAGCAGATGGGCTAACAGGACATGGTGCCTGTATGCCATCAGCCAGGTGACTGGCAAGGGCTGGGAAGTGATTCACAGCACCAGGGCAAGGATGGCCACGTAGCTGTGCAGGGTATACCTCTGCAAGTAAAATCTGGTGCACTCCCATGGTGACTTCCCAGGAGTCACTCTTATCCGCAGGCCCAGACAAGGACATTGGCATCTTGTGCCTACTGTGTGTGCATGTGCCCCTGCTCACCTGAATATGGCCGCTGTGGGGTCCCTTGTGGCCATACATACACTCCACGGTTGCAGAAGTCCTCTCCATGAGGTGAACCCTGAAGAGGGGCTTGAACCTCATCGGATCATCAACGTGAGGGTCGTGAGGGGGCAAGTACATCCAGCCAATTATGAAGAAGCCGTCAACCTGCCCGGGAAAAAAGGAAAGAGAGAGCAAGTCAGCCCTCCCTACCCCTTCGCTCGCTGCCTGGGCCCAGAGCCTCCCCAGGGCAGGCAGGATGGCTCTTCCCACAGCACCAAGGGGCTGTTCTGAGCCATCAAAGGGATTCTTAGGGCTGGAAAAAATTGCTTTCTAGCGACTCAACTGCAGGCCCAGCAAGGAGGAGGAGGGGCTTGAGAGGGCTCTTTCAAGGGATTAACATTCAGGTCTCTATTACTGCAAGCAAATCAGTGCCAGATACGCTCTGGGCCCCGGAGAGAGAAATTGTGCTGAAGCTAGTCAGGTTCTAATTGGTTTGTGATGAGTCTGTGCCGGCAGCACCTCTTGGGAAAGTGGGAGGAGGGGGATCTATTCCCCACAATTACTGTGGCTTTGGGATAACGAATTATGTTCTGGCTGTGTTACACAGTGCCAGTAAGAGGAAAGCAGCAGCTCCCTTTACCGAGAGGTGAGAGTGCCAGCCTCCCACCAGGAATAAAATCCTCACCTCAACGTTACAGGCCCAGGGAGAGGAGGCGTTTTGTAAGTGGAAAGATCCCCTAAAGCCAAGGAGAGTCCTCAGCTCTGCACTGCCTCTTGCTCAACTGAAGGCTCAATGTAGAGTCAGCCGGTACCTTGGGTACCAGGGGCTGCAGCAAACATCCGTGCAAGATGCGCTGCCGTCTTTGCCCACCAAGGTCCGAACATGACAAACCCCTAAGGCCTGGTATGTGCTTCACTCACCAGCCTTGAATCTTGATAGAGAGAGGGCAGCAGCCCAGTCCCCTCAGCCTCCCCAGAGAAGCAAGCACAATACCCTAAGCAGCCTGCTCCCCTACTCAGCCTCACTGCAGGTCCAATGCAAAGCCCACGCAAGGGAGGTAAAGAGGCTCCTGTTCACTTTGATGGGTTTTTGCAACAGGCCTTACCCTCAGCATCGCTAGCTCCTTTTCAGGGAGGAAAGGCTTTATCCCCACAGGTAGGAGGGAGGTGAAGACAACCTGACACAGTCAGTCAATGCCTAGCGCCAAGCAAAGGGCACAGGCTACGTGGTTCCCAACAAGCTAGAAATGCCAGGCCCAATACACCTCTATTCTCGTGGAGAAGTCAGGGGTCAGCCTGCAACGTCAGCCCCAGCAGAGGGTCAGTCCGTGCCCCAAAAGGTGCCTCATGCTTCTCAGCTGCATCGAGTATTAATAAGGCAGGCATGTAGGCTAAAGACAACTACAAAAGGAGCCAGACAGGAGCCTCAGCTCCTCTCTGCCGACTCCCATATCCCACTTGACCAGCATATTCAGAGTCTTGGAAGTCTTCCTAATGTAGCAGGCCAAATGCTGGCTCATGCTAATGGTGGAGGCATGAGGGATGCAAAGGAGCCCTCAGAGGACAGACTGCTGCCAGGAGCCTGCATGCAAGCCCGAGGTACATCCAGACTCACCACCACATTGAGCAGTCCCCCGTACGGCCCAATGTCCGGCTGCCATAAGCCCAAGATGTGTCGATACCGGTGCAGCACTAGGAAACGAGAGAGAGAAAGCAGATAGAGGGGTGGGGATGGATGGAGGGGAAAGAGAAGCAGAGAAAGGGAGGCAGCTGTCAGACTCCACACCTTGCTGGCCAACACCACAGCAAACATTTCCTTACTTGGAAATGGGGAGAACCCCCATGCTCCCAGTCCCAAGGAGGAGCCAGTTCTGAAGACTTCATGAAAGCAGCAGATGTCTCTTGAAGCTTGCTGCAGATGTGCAACTCCCCACATTATTCTCCCACGCTGCTCTGCCCCCAGCCTAGAGCAGCAGCAGGAGTTTAATCTTTCAAGGCTTCACAGACAGTCAAGATCTTCACATGTTCCACCTGGAGCTCCAAGCTACCCGCTTCCCCCAGACACGTACGAGAAGTTTGCAAACACCAAAAGGTGAAAGGAAGAAGAAACACAGGGAGGGCAGGGGGAAGAAGTGGCAAGTGTTTGTCCAGGAGGAAATCCCACTTTCTGTCCAGACAGATGCGACTGTCCCCACCTAAACTCCAGGGTCTCAGCATTTTCAGGACCTGGCACTCAGACGCTGCAATGATCTGGACCAGAGCAGCCAGGACATCACCCAGACTGAGTGCACAGAGATTAGGCATGCTCCAAAGAGCTTCAGGAGATAAATTCCTGCATTTCAAGGTTTCCCTGCAGAGTCTTATATCTGTGGATCCTCATCCTCAAGCCAGTTATGGTTTGAGTCCTACTGAAACACAAAGTCCAAGGAGGAAAGTGTTCCAATAGCAGGAAATGCAGGCAAGTCTGAAGACCAGTGCATATGGCCAGGCTGCACCAGAGAAGGAGCTGCATCTGGGACAGAAGCTACTTTAGGACCTTGCACATCTCCCTGGGATGGAGCACAAGGGAGTTGTTCATCCACAATATTGAAGGCATGGCTCAGCTGAGACTTGCATGTCCTACATGCTCCCCAGCTCTCTGCTGAAAAATTTCACACGTACAAAACACTACAAGGTGTTTCTGGTCAGAGGGTTTTTGCTACTCAAGCAGCCTGCGTGGGAAGGGACAGGCCAGCGATGAGCTTCCCACTTACAGCTGCAAACCATGGTGTCAGAGTGGCCTTGACTATGAGTCTGGAAGTTCATGGAAATTAGTTACTTTGGGTCCGTTCTGCTGTCCCCCCCGCCACACACACGCCATTTGAAAGTAAGGCATGGATCTGTAGGTATTAAAACTACTGATGAACTACTTAAAGAAAACCAAGTGACCATTTCTGCAAACTATTAGCAAAGGGCTGTGTGTGGAAGACAGCAGGAGACTGCTTGAACCCCAACCAGCACTTGAAATGAGCTTGAACATAGGCAGACAGCCAACCCACAAGATCCTGGGATGCATCTGTACACAGAAGATAAGTGAGCAGAGCTGGCTGGACTGATCTCTCCCAACAAGGACCCGGGGGGGTGGGGCGTGCGCAGAAGCAGAGAGGCAAGGAGATAAGCAATCTTGCATCTCATCTGCACACACAGAGGAATGGATAAGCCACCCCGCTGACCACTAGTTGCCTCCCTGCCCCGTTTGCTCTGAGTGCTGATAAAGCTCAGGACTTCCTTTTTCTTTTCTTTTTTTTTTAGGACAGGAAGCTCAATGTCAAGCAGTTAATTATGAAACCAGAGGTTTCTCTCTTCCACCTCTAAAACTTACAGTTCTCTTACTGCCAAATGTCTTCAGCGCTGCAGCTGCAAGGGACACTAGTGCCAGGCTTTCAAGCAGCAGCAGACGGTGCTGCTTGACAAGACTGGAGGGAATGTAGCCATGGCCCAGCATGAGCAGCCATCCAGACAAAGCTGCCGCTTAGTTCTCTGAGGGCTCTGTTTGCTCTGGAAAAGCAGATGAGTCAGACACACACTGTCCCATGCAGCCTTGAACCCAGAGGAAAGACCCGTCCTCTTCCCAGCTGCAGGGGAATCCAAGCAAGCAGGCAGGCCAATGCTCCCCATGCCCTCCCGCACAACAGCAGCTTTTGTAAGCTGCTCTTCAAAGCTGCACAAAGTCTCCTACTCGGGGGAACAGGAACAGAGCATATGAGAGCAGCCTGCAGCTCGAGCAACATGGAAAACTAACTGCAGCCTTCCCCACCGTGCACCTTCTGCAGCCCCCAAGAGACATCTTTGTGGGCTCTGGAGGAAGCTGTGTTTTCTCACGGATGTTTCTGGGAAAGTGCCAGCGAACAGCAGAAAGCAGGAGCAAATCTCCACATAGACACTTGGCTTCCTTGCCTGGGTCCAAAGCCCACTCGCTATCCCATCAAGGGCTTGGGTCCCACAGGAGGTGCAGAAAGCCTCTTTGCAGCAGTGTTGCTGATCCCCTAAGCCTCAGGGGGCTTAGCTGGTGCATCCCCTGCAATCGGGCACAAGCTTGCCAGCTCCCCACAAGTCTCAATGGATGCAGCATGTGGCTCTTTCCCCTCACAAGCCCCCTCTGTCCTTTGGGCTCCTGCCTTCTGTCCCAACTCCCAGGAGGAAGGGGACGAAGAAAATCCTCAACAAAGGGTCTCTCCTCCTTTGGGATTCAGCCTCTTTTCCCATCCCCCTCCAAGGCATCCCCATCCCTAGCCAGGGGGATGTCCCTGGATGTCCCCTCCTGGCTGTTCTGAGACAGGCTCAGTTTCATCAACCCCAGAAAAACCTCCCACTGGCCTGGAAGGGTGATCGGTAGGGGCGTGACGACTGATCCACGCCACCGGGACAGCTCATGCTGCTAGTTACTAGCAACTGCTGGCTCCAAGAAGATACACCTGTGCGTTTTGGCTGTGCTGTTCGCAAGGGCCTGCACATAGCCAGGAGAGAGGATAGAAGACGGAAAGCAAGAGTGAAAAGTGCTTGTGTGCAAGGGTGAAGAGACTAGAGAGAGGCTACAATTTCCCAGTGACATCCGAGTACAAAACAAGTAACACGGAACAAGTCCACACAGTGAAATCAATACAGCTGGCACACTTCACCAAGAGCATCGCAGCTGACGTCATTAGAAAGGATGTCATTAGAACCCAGGGATGCTCTTTGGATGGAGAGCCAAGTACTTGAGAGGCCGTGAATTTTAACTGCATGTTCATCCATCCACCAGCTGCACGATCAGAGCAAGATACAGACAACAGATGCTGCAGATTTTGCCATACAACTCCATACCTGGAGAGTGAGGGGGGCTGGGCACGAATGGGGGAGAGCTGAATCAATGATCTGTTGTGAGAAAAGAGGCATTTGGATGACAGGAACAAAGCAAGCCAGGGAGGTAATGCTTTGCAAGTGCATCAATGGAGCAATCCTGATCACGTCACTCCCACCCAGCTGGGAATCGGTGCCGGTGTCTGCATGCAGCAAAGCACCTGAAAACAGGACAACAGAGTGGAAGCTTCCCACTGCTCTTCACTCTTTCCAGCTTGTGCAAAAGCTGTCAGCTGATGGGATAGCACAAAGCCTGCTCATTTCACTCCAACTTAACTGCCGCCTTTGGTGTGGGTAAGTCCATAGCATCCATGCCACACATCAGCACATGCCACAAAACGACAATCCCAACCAGAGGGTTAGCAACCCCAGCCTGAATCACCCCTCCTTCACCAAACCATACCCTACCACCAAAAGAACGGTCCAAAGTACCAACCAACACTGGCTTCTTTGATCTAATTGACAAGCTAGACTGAAGAGCCCACCAGGCTCCAGAAAACAGTGTTAAGATCTGGGAACGCTGCTATTCTTCTCCCTGCAGGAAGAGGAATGCAAAGCACCAGGCCATATTGGGTCTGGAGGTCATAACAGAAGGTGCAATGGCAGTGGTAGTCTCGAAAAGACTGCTTGTGGGAAGAGGCAGCAACCCACTGGACAATTATTGTAGGTAGCAAGATGCTTGCAAGGCATCTGGAGCTTACTTTGATGCCTAAACAGGTGCAGATTTGCAAAATGGAAATCAAACCAGATCCCCAGTGCTCACTCCCATGTTTCAGGCGCTCTCCAGAAGCCTCCCTTTGTTAAGGCTAAGTATAAAATAATAATTCAGGGCTCTGTTTTACAGGGAAAGGTGGGACCAGAGAGACACTCCCTCTATACAAGCAGTGCGTGTGTTTCTAGTTGCGACCCACAGGGCTGCTGAAATGCAGCAAGCCCCCAGCCAAGTTATAAGGGAGAGGAGAACTCCAGAGAAGCTGCAGAACAGACAGCTCCATCCAGAAACACGGGAGTTACAACTATAGGCCTCGGGGGCCCCTTAACCTAACCCCCTCCCCCCACACACAGATGCAGGCTGCACTATTCCCCACATGGTTACGGGTTGGACTTTGCTTGCATGTCACTAAGAGAGTCCCTGAAAATCCTCTTTATTGGCCCTTCTGGATGAAGATTTCTAGAGCCCCCTAATGTCACTGTTGGGGCTGGAGAATGCATTAAGGGTGATGCCAAATGCACTCACCTCTCCTTCATAAGCATGTTACCTGAGCAGCACACCCAGGTCCCAGGAAAGCCTCCCCAGCCCTAGTCCAGTTAGTTCCCCACTGCACACGCCACATACAGGATGTCCGACTAGCTCAAAGGAGCCATAAGCCCAGAACCGGCTGCTTGACCTAAGCTGCCACCTTCTAGGGTTGGGACTAGCAGCCTGAGAAAGGAGAGATGGGAAGAGCAACCAGCTCTGCTCACTCTGCCCAAGCCACCCCAGGGGAGCCTGTGGAAGTCACTTCACACTCCATGCAGCGTCTGGCGTGCGCTCGGTGCGGAAAGCGTAGGTGACGCAAGGTACGTACGGCAGGTGTAAACATCTCTGTACTCCATGTGCTCGTAGTCGGGAAGGATTTTCATAAAACGCCCTGACTTCACTCGTGGGTTTATACCTGAACAGACACAGCAGGGTAAGTACCAGCGCATGCCCTTCTCCCCTCCAACCGCCCCATCACCTCCGTTTGAACTGGAATCAAACCACACAAGAAAGCCAAGTTCCTCCTGGACGTTGCTGCTGGGGAAGATGTACAACAGCCGAAAGCCTGTGTTCCCCAGCCAGAGCCCAACGGGGAAGAGTGAGCCATGCCAAATTCAGCATGGCACTGGGGCTCTCGTAAGCAACTCAGATACCAATTTAACTACACAAATACCGAGTGAAACCTAATTCTCTCCCAACACTCCCAAATCTAATTCTCTCCCAATCTAATTCTCAAGAGCAACCATCCCCACAGTCTCTCTGCATCCTACAAGACTCTTGAATCCAGGTAACTTTTCCAAACACCAGGCCAAGGCATTGTTCCCCCACCCCCAGCATGCCCTCCCAGACCTCAGGTCTAGCTTTATTTCCAGTCTTCCCGGTAAGGTACATTCATTGCTCATCCCAGCGGTGCTCAACCTCCAAGCCTTTGGGGCTACCTCTTCCCAGGTGGGGAGCACCAGTAATTGCTGCTCTCTTGCTACCAAGTTTGCAGACTGGGGAGAGGCCTGTGAGCTGGATAGCATGGCCCTGTGCACTAGACTGGTCTGGTCCATAGTTGGGCTGGTGTGGAAGGTCAATCCAACCAGATGCAGATGTGCAGGGCCAGGCCAGCACACTGGATCGCACCCACAGACTGTCCCTCTACAGTATCCAGCCTGCAGACCCACCCCATGCCACTTATCCAGCCCATGGAGTGATAAATTTGGGCACCACTGGTTTACCCATTCAGGGCTGAACACTGCCAGTACTCTCAAATCAAATTCTGCTGCAACTAGAGACTTCTACAGGATACCCAAGAACGGGGCCACACTCTCTCAACAGGACTAATGGGCTTGCAAATAGAGAAGTCCATTACACATGAACAGACTGCAAACCCAGGTGAGGTTGTGGAAAGACAGAGGAAGCCGCCCAACCATCTGACTGCACAGGGGTGTGAAGTAACTGCATCAGTCAGAACATGATTGCCTGAGAAGCACGTGGTAAGAAAGAAATCCCTCCTGTATTGAGGGAATGAAGCCTGCACTCCACAGCTAAAAGCATTACATGCTAATCTTCATCAATGAGCCAATGCAATGGAAAGAAAATTACATAGGTTAAGAGAAGCAGCTCTACAGTTTAAAACAAATAAAGGCTAGCAAGGGGAAGAGAGAATGTCAAGAGCAAAGATACACGAACAGGATTGTACCGGGGGCATGACAGACAGGTCAGCTTAGAAACAACTGACATTTGGATTAATATGAACATGCCCCAGGATGCCAAGAGAGAGTCTGAAGGGTTTGTGAGATCTCTCTCCAGAGATGTGGAGAATGAATAACCCTGAACTAAGCTGTATGGGCTGCAAGGGAAAGGGGCAGCAGCATTCCCATTGTACAGACAAGAAAACTAAAGGCACAGACAGGATGGCAAAGTGGACACAGCCAAGTTATTGTGGGCCCAGTACGAGAGATGGTTGGAACTCAGGAGCTCCTGGCTCCCAGCACAAGGGTTAATGCAGTAGGCAGCTCACTGCCTCCAGGTATCAGTTTGTGTAACACACCTGTCTCTCCAGGGAGTGCAAAACCCACACACTTCATTTTTTGTGACCTACGAACCTAAACAGTTCAATGTTTCCAATTTTCCAAAAACCTTCTTATGAAGAACCTAGAAACTTCAATCCAGGCACTGCAGATAGAGGTCTGTCACCAATTCTTCCTAGGGACAGTTCCATCCTCATAGAGGGATTCACTGAGAACAATAAAGTCTGAATGTAGGGACCACCTCCTCCAGGCAGCAGGCCTTCAGGCTGCAGCCAGCTCCCTCCCAGCTCCTCTGATCTTCTGACTACAAGGGGTCAAAATTTAGCAACACCAATTTTAGCAACACCAAAATTTAGCCACAAGAGTCAGCCTGGTCTGGAAAGCATCAGACTTGAGCACTGCCACTCCATTCTGGGCATGGTTCCTGACCAGCTTTTGCTCTACGTGGTGCAAAGCAGGTATGACACAGCCGTACTGCACAAAGCACTCACCCACGCCAGAATGGATGGGTTGGAAACGAATACTGATGCTCTGTACAGGTCAGCAGCGAGTCCCCTTCCATAACAGGTAGTGGGGGAGAGCATCTCCCTACCCTGCTTTCTCTCTCATGATGCTGTAGATGTTCCACAAAATCATTTTGCCCACCTTCCCCCATGAGAAGCCAATGCACGCTGGAGCTGTCATGGTAGGGGGTGGCTTCAGGGAAAGAGAGTGACATTTTGCTTCCTAGGCCCGTGGAAAGATGAACCCACATCTGATGAACACAGGTCACCTGCTAGTCAGATGTGAAAGGAGCAAAGCAGCCAAAGACAGATACCTCTGAAAAGGTGTAAGAAATGAAAGGCTCCAAAGATCCAGGTGAGAAGAGCAACTGCCAAGTGCTAAACCTGCCAGCCAGCCACAAATTAATAACCCAGTCCTGGAAATCCTCAGATCTCCTGGTTTTTTTCCTGTTAAGGGGGCAGAAGTGGGTCAGAGGCATTCCAGTTTTTGGCATCTGATAATAAATAAAATATAAAATGAAACTCATTACAGCTTTCCAAGGGAAGCCTCCGTGACAAAATACTGAAAGTCATTTCAACCTCTTCTGTTGTCCAAGTTATAAGATTTGGTGTGAATTCACTTTTAATAGTGAGTCAACGCAGGAAGAGCAGCACACGAGACTGCGCTGGCTTCACCACTTACGTTTGGCGTAGACGTCTCGACAGGACACTCCCGTGATCTCCAACTTCCGCAAGTTCTCGCAGACTCCGTACTCTGCAACAAGAGGAACAAATAACAAAATATGCTCTCCGATGCAAAGGTGTTTTTGTGGTCCAAAGTTTTAAGACATAACAGCAGAACTTAGACTGTCTTTAGGTAAAAATACACCGATCTCTTTGGAGACCAATCCTGCGTGTTACTGAGTTAATTTAAAAAGAATAAGTGTCGTTATTCTCAAAAAACCTGAAAAACGCAACAAAAGTTAAACATGGCATTTCGTGACAAAATACATCCTAAGTTTCCTCAATACATTTCACAAGCAAGGACGGCTTACGTTATAGTGATGACTTCCTGTTGTTAAGGTTGTAGCTGCAATGGGAGTTGGCGTGGGATTGGAAAACCATACTGTATATCCACCCCAACGGGATCCCTCCACTACTAAAACAAACCGCTGTTTGTACAGGCAGTATATATTCCTCCCGATACATCCAGCAGAAAAAAATACCAAGATCAAGGGAAAAAGTTACATCTTAGAGCATTAAGAGATCAATAAGATTTTAAAATAATGATCTGTGGATGCAACATGAGCTTAAGCATAAATAACTTGTTTGCAAGTACAAACATCCTGACATTTGAAAATAAATGGGATTGAAATCAGTTTGTTCTTTGCTTAGATGTCTTTGACTGCCTTGTTTCTCAATGCATTCTGTCACCCATCCAAAGCTCTTAAAAGCAGCTTTGAAGCAGAGAAGGGGGGGAATAAATAAATAAATAAAAGCGCTGCACTTACAGAAACCAAAGACCAAATTCTACATGCTTAAGAAGATCCAGACAAGCACCAGCTAGAAGCTCAACTAAAAAAAATCCTTGAAACACTAGAGGAAGGAGTCTTCATCAGTACCGAGGAAGGAAACCTGCATTCCCCGACACCTTCATGCATGCTGCCTAAAAGTCAGACTCCCAAATGGCTCCAGCCCCTGCCAGATACTTGACACCAAACATGTCCCCAGATGACCTCAGCAAACCACCCGATACGAAACCCACACAAGGGAGAAGACTAACTTAGCTTCTCTGAACCTGTGAGGATCCATCATGGCCTGTTGCACATCAACCACTGTGGATTAGCTCTGTACTCAAAATTAGGCTGAGGCCGCATGAAATCCTGGCTGAACCCCTCCCTGATCTTACTACACAGACATACTGATGAGTACATCCACACACAAAAGGCATGCTTATCGAGCCACAAGAACACATGTGGGTAATGCTCACTTGGGTCACACTGGGCATTTGTACACATATATGTACTGCAGCACCGAGCGCTTTTAAAAGTGAAAGGCACGTCAGCACTGAAAAAGTGGCAGTGGCGCGCTTTTGAACTAAACTACATCAAGGGCATTTTCATTCAAAAGCACACCACCGCCATTTTCTGCACACTGATGTGCATTTCGCCATTTATACCACTGGGCGCATCAGCTTGCATGCTCTGCAGATTTGATTAATTGAGTCTGTCCCGACGCTCTGGATTTCGTGTATAAGGTACGTGTATAAACGCCCAACAGAACTGGTTTAACACAGTGGGCGTATCCACACATGCATTAATCCACTTCAGTTAATGTGTATCAAATCTAGTACCTCCATTGTGAGGTACTAGGAAAATGCCCATTAGCCCAGCTTAATGCACATTTACTAGAGCAAACACTTTTTATGTGAAGCTTAACACGTATTAGCCTATTTTAACGTACCTTACGTAAAAAGCACGATTTTTACATGATTATTTTAATGCACATGTAGATGCACCCAGTCTCAACAGAAGCAAATCCAATAGTGAGAAGGGAACAGAAGTGAAAAAAAACAATTCTCGTTAAAAGATCCTGTAGCAGATGCTTTGACTTCCATTAAAGCCTTGAACATTTAAGGCTTGAGAGCAGAGGAGGAGGGCAGGGAGGGAGGAAGGAGTCCCATTAGCTCATGAGCAGACAGCAAGGCTTCCCGAAACATACAGCCAGCCTAACACAAACAAGCTATTTAGCCCTGGGCTAGAGCCAGGTGAATCTACGCAGCAATTCTGTAGATCTCTGAAATCAGAGCTGCGCCGAAGGCTGGAAGTTTGAAATCGCAGACGTCCTCCCAATCCACCAGACATGACACTGTTTGTAATGCTAGCCTATGTGTGGTTGGTAATAATACCAGCGATACAAGAAAAGCAATATGCTTTTCCAGCTTATCTGCGACTCAGGAGATCGCAGGCCTTCAAGAGATGACAGCAGCAACATGGTTCAGAAACAGCCCGCTCCAATGCCAAAGCAAATGTTCACCTGCTCGCAAGGCTGGGAAGGTAGTCGCCACATCAGCTGGCATGATTCGATGCAGCTACATTGGACTGCACGGTGTCTCCTGAGACTGCACTGGGGACAGGAAAGAGAAGGCCAGGGCAGCATTCACCCCAAATTTAACAGGGAAGCTTGTCTGATGACCTGAAGGAAGAGAGAATCTGTCATCTGCTCCCAATTCCCCACAATCCTTCTCGTGTCTCGAGGTGCTGTTCCAAGTGGTGCGATACCCTCCTGGACTGATCACCAACAGACATCCTGATGCAAAATGAGAAGAGTCCTCCAATGGGGGGATTTAATGCTGGCTTTATACAAGTGGCCTTGCTGCCTCGGCAGCACAAGAGTAGAACGCCATCACCAAGTACACCGCATTATGAGTTTTGTGGCTTTTCCCCACTGCAAGAGATGCAGCAGATGCCCAGTTCCTGAAAACAGTTCACTGTTGTTTGATGTCAGCCTAAGAGCAAATGCCCTCTGAAGTCCATGCTGTTCCCTCGCCTGAACCCTCCCTGGTGAAGTTTTTGCAAGGCCTAACTGGAAAACCTCAGCTTTCACACCCACCACCTCCAGCTCATGCTAGGGAGAGCCAGAGTGAGGCACAGCACATGTGCTCTGGGTTAGCTAAACCCCAAAACAGATGTTGCCCTTAGCTGGCAGCAGCACGAGGCCTGTTCCAATAAGCATGTCCACGACACAGCCTGGCACCCCGCAAAGCTAGCCATACTCCATCCGCTTCCACGTTTAGCATGCACCAAGCAGACAGGTAGAGCACTCTCCCACAGGCCAGCAACAGGGGAGATGCGCTTTCAGTAACCTCAGTGATGATTAAGTGCCTGAACTGGTGCTGCTGGCCTGCGGATGGAGGGAGCCCTTCATTCCCCATGCCCTCTCATTTGATGCCTTAAACTATGACACTGACCCAAGGAAAGAAAAAAAAAAAATCTCCTTACCAACCAACCACCCCCCAAAAATCCCAGTAACAACAAAAATAAACCAGAGCCCAGACAGCACCGTGTATTCTTCAGACTGGAAACGTGAGAAGTTAGGTTATATTAAAGTCAGCTCTCTACAGCATTGCAATTCGGCTGTAGAAAAATAAGATTGCCGTGGAAAGGTCAAATAGGAACCTTCTGGGAAATCCTGCTCCACTGCGCTATTTGGAAAGAACTTATCTCGGTGCTACAGTTCAGTGAGAAAATTAAATACTGGAAGTGCTGGAAACAGTTAATATGGAGAGAAAAGTCACAGCCACAGAAGTGGGCACTTATAATGTGACTTCACAAAGGAAGGGTGAAATCTGGCTATGAAGTCCTTATTCCTGTAGTCAGAAAACCTTATATTAGGGCAATAACCACAAGTTGGAAGATTTACCTAACACGTGACAACTACACCAGGGTTACCATGGTGATATCCCATAGAAATTAAAAGGCTAGGAAAGGTCTTTATGATGGATCACACTTCATCATAACCTTAGGAATCTAGTGAGCGTATCTTTACCTGTAGCTTATGGTATCTTGATATGCATGTGTCCCCCCGGCTTCACTTTGCCCTTTTCTTTTCCAACAGGTTACAACACACCTTGCTCTTCACTCTCCATATTACAGACATTCTCCAAAGTATATTCTTTGCCCTTCCCACAACAATCACATTTTTTTTTCCCTGCAGTAAAGACACGTAATCTGTTGAAACTGGGGCAAGCAATCCCGTCTCCTGACAAGGCATGTGAACCCCATTTGCATGACATGTACCAGTCGGTACAAATCTCTGCTGCTTTCATTCGAGTCCCAAACCTTGCATTTATTTAGCTTGCTCTTCAGCTCGTGGAGGCTGGAAAACAGCTGGGGAAAGCTGCACATGGGCATGCACGAGCCACAGAAAATTAAGATGCGCCAAGTTTGGCGTCCCTAATTGTTGCTAACTTCCCATTCCTCTGACTGATCTAATCCTCTAATTGTTCCTGGGTAAGCAGATACCGCCATATGAAGAGGTGGCACAGAAATACACTGCGTTACCTCAGCGATGACAGAACACAGAGATTCGCACGCTTGTCTGTGGAGACGGTGCCTGGGTGAGGGGTGCTGGCTCTGCTCCTTCCCAAAGGCTAACCAGTCCACTTGAAAGTCAACTAATGCATATATGTATTAATATGCATGTATGCATTAAATATTTAGGATTTCATAGATATTAAAGGATATCCATATATTTCAGGTTTTCCTAATAACTTATCCCTGGGAGTTCTTGCCACAGAGGGTTTTTTTGCAGCCACAGAAGACAGGTGGTACAGGTGGAAAGACAACTGCCATCAAGATGTGGTCCCCAGCGTGGATACATCTGAAGAAGCACGGATCTTTAACTTCCAATGCCTGACATACAAAATGCTCAAGGCAAACCACCACTCTTGACTGAAGGACACAGCATGGGAGCACTTTTTGTTTAACAGAAAAAAACTAGTCAACTACCTTTAAAAAACAGCACCCAGAACTGAGCAATTCTGTGATGAAAGCACACATCTACCCCATTTCACTGGAGAACCAAGGGTGCTGGACTAGTTTTCATTTTTATACTGTACAAAGACTGAAAGATAATTGAGCATTTGTAATTCTACAACTAACCCAACGAAATATCAGTTGTCATATTTTGAACACGAGTGTCCTTGGTTAATAACCCTTAAAGTGTTTACAGTTAAGGTACAGAGAGCAGCTGTAAGATGAGAAGAGGGGCAGAAATTGGTCTCCCTTCTGTCCAGATGCATGCCATTTGGTGCACAGTTAGACAGGCAGTGGAAAAAGCACTCCGTTGGGAGGCTCAGCCTTTAATCAACACCACAGCTGTGACCTTTGACAAGTCCCCTCCTGTGCCTTGGCTCCTCCACGTGAGAAAGAGGAGTGAAAACTACCTCTGAAGCTACATTTTGGACCTACAGAAAACAGCTCCCAAAGGGTCAGTGCAACCTGCCTCAGGATGAACCCTTCTCTCTCTGGGCCCTTTGCAAGAACAGCATTTCTGAATGAACTGTAAATTCAGTGACTATGAACTGGTCTGGTTCCTCAGACTGACAGACTAGCTGGTTAAAGGCACTTGAAGATAAAAACAGGTTACTGATTAAACAACGCAGTCACTCCAGGTAAAAGAAGCCAGGAGCCGCGGTGAAACTTATTTGAATTCATCTCCCAGCATGTTAATAAACAATTGCCTATTTATAGTACGCTCTGAAAGGGACTGCAACACTCCTCTTGCCAAAGACGCACTTCAGAGAGACTGTTTATCCCAAACAGTCCCAGTGCTGGAAGGGTGTCCTCCCAAACATGTCTGGCTGCGAACATCCGTCCAGCTCTTGTGGAGCAAGCTGCATACCCTGAATTCAGAGCCACGACTCAAAGCCAGTGTGGACCAGCGTCTCGTGTTGTGAAGGACAAATCCCCGTATTGTCCCCAGATGAAAGGACAGTTTCAGGGACTGCCAGAAAACTGAACTGACCTGCCAACATGATAGAGTCTGTCTGGCAGAGGGGCCTGATTTACCTTTATTTAATTTTGGAGCATGACTGCAGCTCCAAGGTTCAGATCATTCATCCACGCACTGCAGGGCCCTCCCTGGAGAGACAGGGAGGGAAAGACTATCAGACAGCACTGCAGTACTATCCATCCCTCTAAAGATGAAATTGTTTCAGGACTACCAACCCCTCCACCCTTTATCTGGGTGCTTGCATAGTGGTGACCTCAAACAGCACCGACAAGGCACTGAGGACACAACTACGCACGAGTTTTTCAGCAAACATCTTGGCCAAGTGATGGCTGAGCTTCTGACTTAACTGTACTGTTAGGTGATGCATTTATCCCCCTGCTTTACTTCCAGGCATTTATAACTTCATGAAAGAGGGCTTTTACCAAAGGGTCCCAAAACACTGGGTTTTCTTCTTGTTTTGGGGGTTTTAATACATCACCCCTACTTGGAGCTATATCCTTGGTTATGATTTGGTGTCTCTGGAAGACTTACCTAATAGTTTGATTATTTTTAGGTATTTGACAGTCACGTGGCCCTTTACTGTATACTACACGGAGACCACAGAACATGTGAGCGCAAGTACCTGAACTCTTCAAATATCCAAGCAACTATCTATTTCATTTCCAACAAAGCCCCTCACACTGGACTGACTTATATCCATGCATTTGTTGTATATATGCAAACAGGCTATTAAAAAAGCCAGGAAAATCAAGTTGCAAAATAACTGTCACCTCTGAGGTTTTTTTAATACGCAAAAAATGCTGCGGCTTTCCTAGCAGTGCCAATTACCCCACCACATCCACAACGAACACCACTTCCAGCAAATGCAAAAAGTGCCCACGGACAGGTCCCAGTGACAGCTGCGGGGGGGGCGGGAGGGGAAACGGACTGACTGTAAAGGGATTTCCTGAATGGAAAGTCTTATTCTTAAAAGTTGCTGTAAGAGCATTTAGTGAATTTGATATGTTTTTCAGGGCGCAGACGGATGTACCTGCTGGAAGCACCTCGCGTACCTGCGGCGTGAGGATGACCATGACCCACAGCGGCACAAGCAACTAGCACACGACGACGCCACGGCTGGAACAGGCAGGCTTCTCTCTGCACCAGTTTCCAACCTACCTCACACAACCAGGGACGCTGCCACATAAGGTTTAATTTTCCCTGCTTAATTAATTAACCCTTCCAAGCGCCTGCTCGAGCTATCTAGCCAGAGCAGAAATCACCCACGAGTCAGGCAAGAACAGAAGTCACCTCCTGCTAGCTCATGGTTTGGTTTCTTTACCAAATGCAAAATAAACAGGTACTGACATCTGCGTGGGGAACTCGGCGCCCTTCGAACCCAGCCCCGCCGAGGAGGGCTCGTAAAAGCCTAAAAAGTGCCACTTAATGGGTCAGATCCCTGGTCTGTCTTGCTCCAGCAAAGGGCAGAAAGCAGCTGCTCCAAGGGGGAGTGAAAGCGGGGTTTCCCCCCCTTGTTCCTTTGCACCCTGAAGGTCCAGGGCGAGCACAGAGCCCCTCGACGCCCCTTTTCTCCAAAGACCCGAGCTAAATTAATAGGAAAAAGAACTATTTCCCCCGGTGCGGGGGCGGGGACCCCGGTACCTTCGCGGCAGCGGCGGCGCCAGATGGTGTCGGTGCGCAGGAGGCGGCGGAAGGCGCCGCACACCTGGGCCAGGCGTGGCAGGTCGGGGCCCGGCAGGTAGCCGAAGATGTGCACCAGCAGCTCGGGGGGCAGCTCCAGCAGCGAGCGCGCGGGCCCGGGCCTGGGGCCGGGGCCGA